CTGTGACTGTGCCCACACCGTTAGATGTGCAATCCATACTGCCGCCTCCTCCAATTCGATGGTCAGTCAGGTTGCATGAAGCCACTTTGGTTATTTCGTTTTGTCCAGCGTTGTCTGGTCTGTCATCATGGCGTGAATGGCATTCAGAATGGCATCAGATATCATATTGACAAGAAGTATGTATTGTATTCACCCCCACTCCCGATGGCGGTGATCCAAGCTGATCTTCATGTCACTGTTTGCATACTAATACTAACTAATAGTATATCCATAATCATAAGTATTCATCACTGACGAGAGGTGATTCCGAGAGAACATGAATAAAAAGATGGAGAACGAAAATGAAACAAAACGAGGAGCATGAATGACAAATAGAAGTAATGCGCACGGGGAAGACGTCGGAATAAAATGATGGAATAAAAATCGTCCACTCACAACCAATACGATATATACCAAAAAGTCTTGCAAAGCTTATAACCATTCCTGTTCATTTCCGGTAAGAAAGGTGCGCCTAATAAGATCGTGCATGTCTTACTCTGCCTGTCTCTCCGAGGTCTCCAGCGGGAATAAATAGATGTCCCGTGCTAGCGTGCATGACATGTTGCTCGACACTTATGGGCGCCGCTATTCGCAACCACTCAGTCCATTGACCACGACGGCGACCAGCACCCCATTCCCGCGGGCAAGTTGTCATCGACCACCGAAGCCGAGCACTTCTTTATGATAAGGTTGCGCAGAATCTCGCTTGACTGTGCAACGCGACGAGTAAAGTCTTCTGGAATGCCTGGATATTCCTGAATCGTTGTGACACATGCATGGCCTACGAGATCCATGCTGTTGAACATCTCCTTGTGAGCATCCCACCAGCTCTCCATGGGAGTCGTAGACTCCAATCCTGTGACGACGACGACGATTGGGACTCTCTTCTTCCGGGAGGTCCCAGAGTAAACAGTATTGTAGGTGCCAAGGATGGCGCGAGGGGAAGTCGTGTAGTGCATGCAGTACACCAAAAGGTCGATACCACCCAATGGTGACTTGAGGCTCATGAGCTTGTTCAACAAGCTCTTCAGCTGTTGCTTCGCTTGCTTGGGTGTCACCGTGCCTGCAGTCCCCTCGTTGAGACCCGCGGTATCAAACAGGGCGAATTTCTGGCCAGAAATGTCTACTGAGTAACGTTTATATTCAGGGGTGCATCCCGGCGCATCATTGGAGGTCCTTGCGACCTGCTCTTGCGCGATGACATTGATGATTGAACTTTTCCCTGAGCCGGTTTCGCCGAATATGACAACGTTTTTTTCCCGCGGATGCGTCTGCTACATTTTATCAGTAAACTTTCTTTGCAGTGATGCTAGCCAAGAAGTAGAGCACCTCATTAGTATCGCCAGTTTTTAATTTGAGGAATATGTGCTGATCGTTAACATCCGAATGTAATGCTTCAGAATCGCAGTCAGCAGACGATGACATTGCTCAAGGTGAGGACTCACTAAGCTGCCCGCCTTCTGCGAGCAATTGCTCGAAAGTCGTGTCAAATGTACACACGACCTCATACTGATCGAGCACTGGTCCAGGCTCATCTGAGGCGCGAATTTCGAGGTGAACTGCTTTAGATTTGAAGAAGGACATAAGCCACTTGGAAAACGCCTGAGGACGCTCATGTATGCTGAGGGTCTGGTTCCAAGAAACGCTGCAGTCGGCCATTTCCGCCTTGATGGTGTTGTACTGGCCATAGGGAGTAGAGATATGGACATAATGGCCAGCGGGTATGCGACCAGGCGGCATGGGAAGGCCCGTGACAGCGATAGATGTAAGTATCATGGCTGCCTTGCTTAAAGAGTGACAAGTGCCAGCCTGAGTTGGTGAAATAGAGAAGAAGAAAAAGCAGGATAAGTTTGGTTATTTGTAGTAGGAATTAATGGAGCTTTATAATGGCGGCACACGCCAAGGCTGCGTCCAATCAAGTTCGAGTGTTTGTACGCGGCAGTACGAGAAGCTGGCCACCAAAGAACGGTAACGCTCAGCTGCCATAACGTCCGCTACGCCGGCATGTCGAAACAACCGTGGTCTGCAGTGCTCGTAAAGTCAGAACCTGCACTGCCTATGCCTCATCGAGCGTAGTCAGACCATATATAGAAGGAAGCTAGAAGACTCTGGACTCGAGTCCTTGCCCATGATCAATCCACTTGTTGATCGCATCTTTCATCATCTCACTTAGCGTTAATTGCTCTCTTGCAAGCTGCAGGAAACGGTCGACGGTCGAATGCTTGAAAATTCTGGTTACCAGTAGGAAATGCCTCGATATCGAATATGAGCTTATAGCGACCGGCCGTGACCCTGACCTCATTTTCCTGCAGCTGTGCAATCGATATCGGTACCCCATTATTGCGTCATTTACATATCGTTGGCAATCATTAAAATCGCATCTCCCCATATAGTCTCTGCGACCTTGCAAGGCGGTACCATCAATATCATTATTTCAACTGTGTGGCACATTGGATTCTCTTTGGGGCGCAGACTATATAACTTATCTCGAGCACCACAGCCCACCCCGTCTACTAAATAGACTGGTAATGTGACATCTACCTTCCAAACTATACTAGTTGCGCCGCCCTTTTGGTCCCTTCAATGTCCACACGCCCCTCTTAAACGACTCACACGACCTGAAGCCAGTCCTCAATATTCATCGGCCCAATTACCACCGCGCTTAAGTAGAGACATTTATATTTGCTTGTATGTGTTACAAGCTTTTCTATGTGGAAGGAGCAATCTTCGGCCGGAGCATCAACAAATAGCAAAATATACGAGCAAGGACGGATTATAATGTCAATTTTTGCACACGATATCCGCGGGCGCATGATAGAGCTGTAGCTGCATACTACTTGGGCTGTTGACAGGGTGAATTACTTGAGACTTGAGTTCCATTGATAAAGTTGTCCGCTCGGAACGTTGAAGCAATAACCCAGGGATGTGATACGTGTCTCGTGATCATGAGTTGAACTGGCGATGCCAACCTGAGCATTGCGCATTAACCCCCTTACAACGCGCTTGGCACCGCGAGACATTCTGACATCTGCTTGAAGATGTTCTTTTTTGTCAAAATGTGGTCACTGCGGTGCAATTCTGGAAAGTGGTACGCATGTAGTGGAGGAATTACAGTTGTGATAATCGTCGCCATCTATATTCTCTGATCTTGAACAATAAAAGATCTCGCATCGAAGGAGTAGCTGCCGTCCTCCTCACTTCTAGTGAGGTCGTTTATATGACAGCCTGCGAAGGAGAGATCCACTACGGACAAGTCAAATTTTAATTTGGCAAAAGATCTTCAAAGATGTAGCAGCCGGAGTGGTCGCGACTCGCGAGTATAGTTTGAGATGATTTTGTGCACGGCAGATTAAAAGATAGCTTTTATCTTTGGCCAGGGTATTGTCTCCATTCGCGACCCATCCCGCCGCGATTCGCAGCTGAAGCTGCGAGGGTCCTTAAAATGGTCCTGACAGAACAGCCCTACAGGGCGCAAGAACTCGAAAACAAACAACTAATCATTAGAGCCTGCAGATATCTTCACCCACTTTATATATGGGAATGTTATGGAGACCAATAGAATGAAGACAGCCGTTCCGTCTATCGAGGGAGGGTGTAGTCGTGAAATATTATTTTGGTGCCACGCAGTTCATGCAGTCCAAAATAAGTGTGCTGTAGCCGTGATTTTATCGGTAGCGAACTACATGAGAATGGGTACGGCGTCGAACGAGCCTCTGAGACCACCGAAACTATGGAAAGCAGCCTGGACGGTAGTGAAGAAGGAGGCTTGTCTAGTGACTCTGGTCGCGAGATCCTGCAGAGCAATTGTCAGTGATAGCACCAGAATCAGGAATTATAATGTAACAGTGCAAGCATCTAGCTTCACACGCACCAAGACCACAGCGCGTCGAATACCAGAAAGTCTCCTGTGTCGGGCTGAGAGAAAAAAAAAACCATAGCCCACCGCGAGGGTCGAACTCGCAGCCTTCAGATCACAATCGCCTAGCAGTAAGAGTCTGACGCTCTATCCGATTGAGCTAGGCGGGCAGTATGGAATCGCTTGCCCTGTCTCTTACGAATGAAGAGGCTCCGAACAGGAAAAGGACTCAGTATTGGATCAAAAAACTGAGGGAGAATATTTGACGGGGAGAGGAATGAATACGCTGATTGAGACAGGGAATAAAGCGTGAATGTGCATGAAGCATGTAACAGGGAGTGATTGCGTGTATAAAATAAAAGGATGAGTACGCACGAGAGTGACGTTGAGAGTCATATCTCGATACTGTCAAATGATTCCTGAGACCAACGTGTTGTAGAAAGCGACCTGGACGGTGGTGAAGGAAAGTGGGCGCTTGTCAGAACGCCTTGGTACTAGCCATCGTGGCGACACGGGCGCCTGTCCCCTCCGTTGAAAACTTGAAGTTACAGGATGCGGCCACATATACTGGTTTCACGGGCCTGAGGATAGTGTTGGCATCAGAATCTGGCACATGCTGACCGTGATGCCTACACTAACCCAGTGCTAGTGCTACTGGTACGTCTGTTACGATAGCCTTCTCTGTACCAAGGCTACGCAGTCAACATCAGCGCACTGAAAACCAAGCCTCGAAATCAGATCATCATGTAGAAATGAAGGAGAAAAAACAGTAGCCCACCGCGAGGGTCGAACTCGCAGCCTTCAGATCACGATCGCCTAGCAGCTAGTAAGAGTCTGACGCTCTATCCGATTGAGCTAGGCGGGCGATATCAGGGCGTCTATTAAAACCGTTAAAAGCGCCACCTCGGCTAATACCGCGTAGGACATTAAACCTTATTTCAGCCACTGTACAGTTTTTCCAAACACGGCAACTCTGCCCATGGCGGGTGATTTCTGATTAGCAAGGCCTTCAACGCAAGCAACAGTCCGGCAAGGTAAGCCAAAGCCTACGCCTTCTCGCTACACAGTCCAACCTTCGTTTTAGCCTCAAGCAAAAAGTTTCAAAATGACCCACGACGCTGTTTGGTTCTCTCGTCCTAGAAAGTTCGGAAAGGGTGCCCGTCAGTGGTGAGTTGCGCAGGATCGTCTACATCATGGGTCGTTGAGTGATGGATATGTAGCCGCCTCTGTGCTCACCAGGCCGGTCTCATCCGCAAGTACGGCCTTGACTTGTGCCGTCAATGCTTCCGTGAAAAGTCAGCTGCCATCGGTTTCGTGAAGGTGAGTGCCATAGCGTTTGAGCGTGTTGCAGCAGCTCATGTTCGACGAATAGAACCGGTGAAATGTATCCAGTCGCGCACCTGCATCTTATATCATCGTCCTCTCGTCACGCTTCTTTATCTTGCCAGATCATTCGGTCGTCTTGTATGCCACTATGATAATATGCCAACAAGACTAGCATGAAATGCATCTACTATCCAATGCAAAACATCACCTCGTACCACTCAGATACGACTTCGGTGCTTGTTATAGCACACAAATGGGTCATCTTGCTGGTTTGAACAAGCACCACTGCATTGAGTGGTTCAGTGAGGGTATCATAAGAATGATAATACGTGAATAAGTATACCCTTGACTCGGACCGGCAGATTGAGCATAAGACCCAGGAAACAACGACGTCATAGATTGGACAATAAGTACAAAGGTAGTGCTGCGACGGTTTAACCATTAAACAGACATTGCTTTAGATGACGGGGAAGATTAAGGCTATACAAATGGGGTGTGGCAGATAAGAAAGATGTATCGGAAAGCAACTAATAGCAATGAGGGGGTTGGAATATGCCGATGCGAAAGTACAAATGCGCAGTGGTATGATAGAAGTCGGCCCTTGCTCATGCTTGAAAAATCTCCTGGAAGATAGTGAGATCGAGCCGACATGCTTGTGAGGTATCGAGCGTCGAACGCAAGGACATAGAATATACATTGAAACCATTAAAGAGTGACTGCGCAGGTGCGCAAAGAACGAAAGAGCAGAAACGTCCAAAGTGGCATGTAATATGCCTGCTCTACATGCCATAGCCGTAGCTCTGATAAGGATCATTCAATGACCCGGCAACACCGACCGTGCCAAAAGGGCTCACGTTAGCATATCCAGCAACGCCTGTGTAGCCAGAGGCGTGGGTATGAGGGGGCGTCAGACTCGCACTATGAGGAGAGGTGCCTTGTAAGACATATCCGTCGATTGAACGCGCCTGAAGGCCGTGCATTTGGGGGCCGAGGTGAGAGTGGGCATAGGAGCCCTGGCCTTGCATACCATACAAGCCTCCCTGGGCGTAGACATCAGCCACACTAGTAGGGTGCATTCCTTGAGGGATGTGCCGGGCTCCTGCGGAGTGGTGACCGTGACCAAGATGACCGGGATTGCCACCATGATGACCTTGGCTACCCATGGGCATCATGCCCTGAGGAGCATGGTAGCCGAAGTTCTCAGCGTTGGCCTGTTCCCGCTGCAACTTGTTTTGGATCCGTTTGCCGTAAGGAGTGTTGCGAATCAAAGGAAGGACTGGGCGAATGCCTTCAACGAGAAGCATACGCTGCGCAGGCTCGGCATAGTCTAGCGCGGTCTACAAGAATGTCCAGCCCAAATCACAAATGGGCGAAAGAAAAATAGTACCTGCACACAATAGTTGCCATACGAGTCGCGAAGAAGTTTCTCCAAGCGGGAGCGGTTGAGTAGCTCTTCAATCAAAATTTTCCTGGTACTATGTTCGGCCACACGGATGCACTAGTCCCAGTAGGCATGAGAACGATCATCGAGATGAAAAAGACACTCACTTTCTCAATGACATTGGAGCTAAACTTCTGAACAGAAAGCGCACAAACATTGCCCGTGAATTGCCGAATAACGGCATCGCTAAAACGATTGTCGTTAAGATCCAAGATATATTGGACAACCTGGTAACGCTAACTGTCAGGTATTGTAACAGATGAGCAACGGGGGTACTAACATAGTTGCCATAAGGGTCTTGAACGAGCGTCAACGCGTTATAAGTGATTTCATTCACAAGTTGGACACGCTGATGGTCCGAAGCATGATCGATGCAGCGCTGCAGCACGCAGCATCCGTGGCGGTGGGTAGCGACCTCAACGCAGTTGGCAGCCACTGCGTTGTATATGAACTGCCGCACCAGCGTCAGTTTACCAACACCACGGTACAACACCGCCACACTCCTCACCTGGTTATCTTCCGGTGCAAGCTTGTTGAGACATTTTTGAATTACGTGGTTTCCGTTGAGATCCTTGATGAGCACTACAACATGAAGGCTGAGTGCAAGAATAATAGAATGAATCTGAGTGTTGTATCTATGATCAGTCTGCGCTCTACTGTAAGTCTGGAAGATAAAAATCCGCTAAAGCGACTTGCCTGGCGTCTAGTGGACAAGAAATCAATCATTTTCTGTACTGCACGCGTACCGTGCATGTTCAACGAAATGTTAACGAGATCCTGAGCGACGGACTCGCAAATGACGTTTCGTTGATCATCTGTGGAAAACTCGAGGAGCTTTTGGCACAGGTAGTTGCCAAAGGGGTCGGTCATGAGGTCCGCAAAATGACCGAATGTTTCGCGGAAGATCATGTCCCGGTGTTCAGGAACACCTTCCTCCAGCTTCTTTTGCAGGTAACGGCAGCCATGCTGGTCTTTGCAAAGTGTGGGTATTTCGCCCTGAAGGTCTTCAAGGCGTGTGCCAGCGAAACGGTTCACTACATAAAAGGTAAGTGAAAAATAACTAGCTTGAGAAGACAAATGGCCTTACTATCCATGTCACCCCTCTTGTGCTTTGGACCGTGTAAACCGTTCATCTTTCCATCAGCGCCATTACCACGACTAATGTGTAGTCCATATCGGGTCCCATTGTGGTGGTAAAGGGCGGTCGAGCCACTCGCACCGTTGACGCTGTTACCAGACCGGGTACTCGAGTCGAGATCATACGAATTAAACCGACTGCTGTCCATTTGACCGTTCAACCCATAAACATCCTCGACGCCGTATTGTTCGAAACCCATTGAAACATTGTCGTACTGGCCGGATGACATGCGAGAGAGAGATGGTTGATGTCACTCTTGCCAGAGTCCTCAATTATCGGGTAACTACCTTGCGAAGAAAGCCGTCCGCTCAAAGCCTGAGAATCAGGAGTATGAGGAGTACCAGGAGTCTGCAGAAGATGCCCGTTGCCACCGTTCGCCATAGATAGAGGCGTAGCTGGTACTGAGCGCGTCGTGCTCATGGCAGGGGAGCCCCGCTAGATCCAGGTGCTTGCCCAGTTGAACCAAGAGACGCTTGTGCATGTTTGGCCGGCATGTGGGGTCGCAGCGCCACCACCAAGGCTGGTGACAGCAGACAAATCGATAGGCGA